GAGAAGACGTAATCAGTTCCATTTTTTCTCCGATTATGCAGCAAGCGAGGAGTTTATTGGCGACACTACTTCTGAGACGGAATATGAAGGTTATTTTAACGTAGCGGAAAAATATATCATCTCAGATTTGAAGCCTTGAATGGCTTTTTATTCTAAAAATAAAACACATAACTTCATGTTATGTGCCCTCATATATGTGAACAAAAATTCATGTAATATTGTCTAGCTTTATGACAAAGATGTATCAGCTAATTATAATACTTCATAAATTTCTCTTGGTGTGACATGTTTTTGATATAATTAATGAAAGTTTAGAGATCCCGAAATTCTAAAAATGTTCTAACTACGGATTTAAAGATATAGAATCTTGCTACATTTACCTAAGACAAAATTGATCATAATTCAATTACTTTTGATAAGAATGATTTAAACACAAATTTCTGTATATCCTAGATCGCTAGCTCCCAGAAAGGAAGCCAAATAACTCAAGGGTAGCTGTCATCTTTATGCAGTAATGGGTTACATTCCAAAACGTCAAAATCTGAACCAATATTATTAAATGCATACTAACACTATTTCATAAAGTACTGTATGTGATTATCAAATTAATGGCGTCTGGCTTCAACACAACTGTTAACAAACTATAGCATGTTAGCGATCTAGATATTATAGAAATCTGTGAATTTAAATCCCTTAATTTTCGATATTTTAAACAAAAGAAAAATTCTTGTAGCACACATAGAAAATTTTGAAATAGACAAGATAATTACTGATAAATAATAGAAAATGTTAAGGTAAAAAGTAACAGAATATATTTAAAAAACAAAAAAATTTCAAACCTTATTATTTATTTTTTGGGGAACACATTATCTGCGTTATTTAGCGCTATAAATATTCAGAGACCTACTTGAACACGTTGCAAATATCAAGTTATTAATACACATGTAATATGTTATAATTTTGCGCTACAAACACTATTTCTTCAGATATAGAGGTGTATGTACCATGTGCATATATATTATACATATATATAGATGTATACATATATATGTATAATATGTATATTTGTTTATAAATATATATTTATATGTAAACATATTATTATATATAATTACATATAGTTATATATAATCTCTTTATATACGGAACATTTCACGTTAACCGGATCACCTGCGTGCTTAAAATTCAGCGCAACGAAAATAAATGGTCTCAAATTATTCGTATGCACTTTCGAAAGAAATTTGGCGTTTTGAAAAATTCAATATAACTAATACGCCGAGAATTAAACAATAAGCATAACATGCCAATTTAACATCCTCATCATCTTCTTGCTTAAAGTCCAGTGTAATGATTTTAATTGGTTTGAAAGTGATTACTCCTAGATTTTCCTGTCCCACTCGAACGAACGGGTCGTCGAAAACCTGCGCTTGTACTCCGCACGGCGAGTCGACCCTCCAAACGCTGATCACGCTAATTGTCGCGTGAGCGTACGCATATAGTCACGCCGCGATTAAAAAAATTAATTAAAAAAATAAAAAACAAAAAAGTAATGTGAGTTTCATGAATCCTAAATGAAGACAGTCTCCACTATGTTGAACGCAGAGAGCTTTTTTTAAGCACAAGATATTAGAAATTCCGACAGAGAACAGATTCATAATCAATGACTTTAAAAACCCAGGATAATCATATTCAAGTCAATTGGGATCAGTACAATGGTTTAAGCAAAAAAAGTGTTAAATTTGCTTGTGATGTTTATCGTTTATCGACTTCACTATTGGATTTTTTTAAACGCATTTCTTTCGAAAGTACATGCGTATACAAATAATTTGGGATATGCGCAGTACATTCTTTAAATATGTAATCTCTCTAACATTATTTTTATCAAAAACTTAAAGTAAAAAAGACTCCTTAATTTAAATAACGTGTTTAAAAAAGGGCTGTTAGAAGTCGACGCGGTAAATGGTGCGCAAATACATATGTTATTAGACCATAAATATAATTCACTTAATTAATACATAAATTCTTACAAACGTTTCGGCTCCGTTCGAGCCATCTTCAGTGTAACACCACTCTACGACGGGGCACGCTGAAGTATTAGAGTGGTGTTACACTGAAAATGGCTCGAACGGGGCCGAAACATTTGTAAGAAATTATGTATTAATTAAGTGAATTACATTTATGGTCTAATAACATATGTATTTGCGCACCATTTACCGCGCCGACTTCTAACAGCCCTTTTTTAAACACGTTATTATTTTTATCGATAAACTGTAATTAAAGGAAATAAAAATATGTGCATATAATTTGTATAACTCATGTAATTACACATAATTCGTACTCTTGTCGCAAATTTGACTACGCTATATTGTTACCATCTGTCCGACTCCATTTTTAATGACTTATTCTTACTTATTGTTAGCTCGTGCGATTGTAGGTATCTCTTAATAATTATAATTTCTTAACACATTAACACAATATTCTTTTATTATATATCTCATTATTTTTGTTATTTTTGTGTATTTTGCTCAATAAATAATTGCAAATTATATTCTATATCTTAATTAAGAACTTTTATTTATCTCATTACAACATTTGCATATCTTTCGCAATTTTCTTTCTTGTACTTTTTTTACATGACTTTGACAGAAAGTACGAAAGGCACTTAACTAAAAAATGATTGTCGCAATCTCCTTCCTTTCCAACTCTTATAAACTATGATTTATATATATATGTATATATACATATATATATACATATATATATCACAAACAAAATTGAAGCTGGAAATGGAAATGTTCCGAGTTTTCCACGTCGTGATGAAGTCAGATTTTTATCAATCGTGATTGAACTCAGGAATATCTTAATTGTAGATCAGATCGAGTTTGTCCGCATCTCTCATTACATCAGAAAAAGTTTCTCTTCTAACTCTCTTGTGGAAATATATAGGAGATTGTTTCGCAGCACGTGTCGGAAGAAAAGTTATCATAAATTCCGGCTATTCAATATAATGTAATAAAACTACGATAACTTTCGGGATAAGTTATACGCAACATGAAATTACTTATACAATTCTAGGATACAAATTAGTAGTATATAAACTAGCAAAGTTTCGTGCTTGCCGTAGGCTACAAATATCATAAAAAGAAACAAAAAGAACGACTGGAACACATTAAGGAATTATTTTTATTGTGTATATTATAAAATTTTGATTGAGTATAAAGAATAATATTAAAAGTAAGTAAATACTAAAATTTAATTGATAAATTTTTAATATTTTCGCAATTTTTCATTTTACATAAACTCTAATAATTTAAAAAATTTAGAGTTTAATTATTCTCTTTATTTTAAAAATTAAAAAAAATTATAAATACCAATAAATTAAGAGTCTTTATAAAGACCCAGAATTATTTTCTGTAGACTTTTAATTAATTTGATGTGTATCTGAAATTTTTATTAAATATAGACATTAAAATTATTGTGACAAAATTTATTGGTGTAAGCGAAATGATTTCTATTTCTTACAACAGATACAATTTCTCTTCCTTTTGTCATGTATTTGCAAAACCATATATCTCTATTTCTAACTTTCTAAATCCCTATCTAATGAACTTATGTACGTGACAAGATTACTAAACGACAACATCTCGTCCTGACAAAATATCTATCATATCTTAATAAATGTATATACCGAAATCGCTCTGAAAATCACATTCTCTATATTATATTTTAATAATTGTGTATTTATATGTATACATATGTATTTATTTTTACAATTAAATATTTTAATATTTATTTCCTTTTCAAACTTTAAAATAAAACTTTTACTTTTTTAAAGTAAAAAATGAAAATAATATCTCGTTGCATATTTTTGCTTTTAAAATTTAATTATTGTGAAACATGACTCTAGAAATTGTTGAGTGCCTCGATATTTTCATTAATAATAATCGGAAAATTTCACGAAAAATTGCTCTATGTAACTACTTGTTCGCCAATTCTGGCACGTTCGGTATACGAGGCTACGTAAAAAGACAGTCGCGTCCGACAGGGAAAAGAAATCACCATTCGTCCGGCACAACCGAGGTAGAGGCAGGTATATTTGCTATGGTATATACGGAATCCAGTTTGAATTTCACGTGGCTGCTTTGTAACACGCGTGACCGTAAAACGTCTGCGGAGGAAACTCGCACGTGCATACAAGGATCGCACGTGCTAGGGATCTCAAATGCGCGGAGCACGTTTTCCCGTTCCTGTTTCTTTCGGTTCGCGCCAACATCCACGGAGTACATCCGCTTAAGTGATACGTATCGACGTACAGACCCCTCCCTCCCTTTGACGCGATCCAAAGAGAGTTCGAAAATTCTAAAGGTCAGACGGAAGAAAACCGCGTACTTGCACGTGGTGAGACTTGCAAGACGTTTTTCTCTATGGTGACCTCCATTTGAATGCTCTTTATATTTCGGTATTAAATTGGTATTACCACAAATGACAATATTGCCATTCAAATATCGCAGATGTTAATACTCAATAAAATAAAGCATAATTTTTTGCCATATAATAAAAACGATGACTCAAATAAAAAATTTTTAAGCGTTTTCTCTAGGCGCTCTTCGCATATTTTTTTACGTTATTAGAAATTTTCTCGTTATACCAAAAGAATTAGTATCTTTTTCATCTGGAAAAAAAACATGCAAAACGTGTTATGTATAAATGCGACGAAGAAGTAGAATATTATAGAATTTATGTTCGCATGATCGACACTTCAAAACTTTTCAAGTTCTTGGCGTTCCCGTTTGCAGTTTCACTCGCCTGTTGGCACCCGCGGAATTTATCACCTTCCTTTCACTCGTCCACCCTCAGAACTTCTTGAAACCTCGATTCAAGATACGAATGGAAAAATACGGAGTCTCTTCGAAAGGGGAAGTCAAAGAAGAAAGAAACTTTCAAAGTTTCATTTTATATTAATGAAATGAAATCTGGAGTTATCCGTCGTAGCCGTTTTATTATCTGATGAGTAATTACATAATGGAACGCTCTGCTATTAAACTAATTAGTACCAACATCAAATTACTAAGAAATTTGGAATTAAATCGAATATTAATATCTAACTTCTCGTCTTTTCTTAAATGGCTCATTGTCTAC